CTGGAGGTGGCAGCGGGGACCAGCGTTGTCATCGTCATCAGCCTGTGGAGGGTGCCGAGGAACGCCGAGAGCTGATGCAGCCGCCCCAGTGAGCAGCCTCTTTGCCACCAACAGTTTAAAGGACCCAGCAGTGGCGATGACAGCAGCCCTGCAGAGGGCGCCGAGGAGTGCCGAGGACCGACACAGCCACCCCGGTGAGCCGGAGCAGGAGGCAGCATCAGGCACCCCCCCCCGGCAGGCGAGCCACCTGCTGCTCAGGAGCCACTCACCAGTGGAGAAAGGGAGCCGCCCCTGCAGGGCCAAGGAGAGCACGGCCCCGCCAGGAGGGAGGAAGCAGCGGTGCGGGAGGACCCTTCCTCCAGGAGCTGGGGTCAGGGCCCCCTCCGCCCCCACGCCAAGGCTGAGGACCAGGATCCCACCATCAGGTGCGGCAACACCCCCGCCACCGCCTCCCCCTGCCGCTGCATCCCTTTCCCTAACCATTGAGATGAAAGAGCTACTAAGAAGCAGCCTCTTCGCCACCAACGGTTTGAATTTCCTGCCTTTTCCCCCTACCTTTTTCTGTTCATAAGTGGAAGCTCCGGTCACAAATCGAAGCAAAATTTTGCAGCCGGAGCTGGTCGTAACTCAAAATGGTCTTAAGTAGAGAGAGTCGTAAGTTGAGGCACCACTGTAATTATATTCTCTTTGTAAGGCAAATGCTTGTTTTACAAAGTTGTCCCTCTTATGTCCTAACTAGCCTAAGGGGCTCACACCCCATATTTTAGATTCTAGAACTAGAGCCTCTTATACTGTCTTCCCATTGGGGGCCTTTTTGTCTAATCCTTTTTTGCAACTAGTGCATCCTATTTTGTCCTTTTTCTGCATTTGCCTCTTTAAGGTTGAAGATTTGTTATAGGGGGATTCTGCTTCCAAACACTTAGAATACACTGATGTTATAAATGCTTAATTTGCATTTAATGTATCTGAGAAAAAACATTACTTGCCGTTTACTTCTGTTGCTGTTTAATGTGCACAGTAAACACAACAGCAACAGAATTAAAGGGCACATGTCACCTGTGTATGTGTGGGTGCTGATGCAAATGCTTTTGGTGTCCTTTCCCATATTGGGCATAGATTAGATACTGATCATTCCTTTGGTCTTGTTGAATGATGATCAACGATACTGAAGGATTTGTATCTTGGGGACTTCTTGCATTTTACTGAAATACAGTTAGAATTCTTCTCTTTCACCTACTTCTTCAGAACTTGAAAGTCCAGAAAAGATGCAGCTTCCCTCAAAACAGCCTCTATCTGTACCTGTGGAAACTTCCCAATCTGTGACCTCACCAGATACTCAAGGTAATGAAGCTTGAGGTGAGATGTGTTTAAGTTTAGGCCTCTCCCTGTTGTTACACATTTTGGAAACACAGAGCTGTATTTACTTGCTACTTCAGCCTTCAGTATCAATGAAAAAAAAGATGGTTTAAAGTGCAATAAATAGAAATCATATTCTATGAATGAAATCATATGATACATTCCTTGGATCTTTTCCCCCCCTTGAAAGGTTCCCTGCAGCAGCCGAAAACAGTGCTAGAGGCTTTGCAGCAGAGGCTGGAGAAATACAAAACAGCAGCAGCCCAAGCCAAAGCAAATGGAGATAGTCGGAAAAGCAGGATGCATGAGAGGATAGTCAAGGTGAGGGAAGTGGCAGAGCTGGGTTTTCTGACACCAACAGACCTCCTTGTTGCAAATCTCTGATGATCTTTCAGCTACATCTGCCTCCCCAGCCCTGCCACATATTTTGTGCCCAGGAAACTTCCCGGAAGTGAGATCCTATTCATGGGCCTTGTTTTAAATGGGCACATTCAATTGGTTTTCATTGCCAAAAGAAGTAAGGTGTGGTCTGCACGGGGGAAGGTGATGGCAGCACCTCCTCTCCCAGGAGTTGTGCCCTCTTGGTCTAATGTGATATTTTCATAAGCTCAAGGGAAGCTTTAATAGATCCTGTCATAATATCACTGGAAGAATTTGCTGTTGTAGAAGTTACCACATATAAGCCTACTTGGGAATGGTTTTCTGTGAACCATATCTCTTTGATGTAGTTTTCTGTTTGTGCACTGGAGCTGCAGACCTGTATAAATATGGCCTAGATATAAGCCCCATTTAATTCAGTGGGGCATACTTCTGAGTAGACTTTATAGGATTATGTTGTGATTCATAGGTTTGTCAGACAGAAAGAAGAACACAGTGAAATCAGTGGGGCTTAAACTAGTCATGACTAATGCAATGCCCATTGTTTTCAGCGTGTCCTCTAAATGTGACAAAATCTAACCCATTGTGTACAATCATCAACTTCAATTTATGAAGAACATTGCTGGTGTTCTTTCTCCAAATGAATAGAATGACAACAGATGAACAATCTGATGGGAGCTTTTCATTTTTGTAGCTATAAACTATTGTACTTAGAGTATCCATAAATGGTATATAATGTTTGCTGCAGAAATTGACTATCGGAAGAGTTTGTAGCCTCTGAAGAGAAAATGAGTAACAAATGTGTATTTAAAATACAAACATATTCCAAAATTTCTGAACAGAAACCTTTCTTTCTGAATATAATATCTTGTTACAGCAATATCAGGATGCCATGAGAGCCCATAAAGCAGGAAGAAAAGTGAATTTTGCTGAATTACCAGTTCCTCCTGGTAAGTGTTTGATTGTCAGGGCTGTGTGGTGATATGTGAGAAAACCCGACATAAGCAGTTTCACTGGTACATTAGCCAGAAATGCTACAGCCGAGTTCCTCTCACTCTTCTCTGTTAGAAGGCTGGACTGGCAGTGTTGCAAAATGCGCCTGTTGTCTGTTAACTTTTATGAAGTTGTGTGATGGGTTATTCTGCTCCCTCCCCCTGCTCCCCACTGGTAAGAGCTTGACAGAGGAGAAAAGCTGGAATGGGCAAAAACTTGCACACATTTCTGTCCTCTTTGTTTTAGCCCACTAGAAGTATCAATGGTTCTGGATTATTTTGCTTTCTACCTTTACTGTTGCTGTTCCCATGAGCAGGAAGGGCTTCTTGAATGGCAAGGTAAAGTCAGGTGGCCTAACAAAAGGTTGCTTGCTTGGAGAGATCTATCCATCCTGTTGGCAGATCCCAGTCAGAACTTGATTGTTTGTTTTTATTTTGTTAGATCAGAATTCATGACACAATTCAAAATATTTTATCTAGGGTGGGGGTGGGAAGGAGATACTCATTTGGAATAAAATCTAAACCAAGTCCTCTTTACACATAAAAAAATGTTGTAGCTGAAGTTAGAGAGAGCCCTTCGCATTGGCCCTGCCCTGTTCAATATGTAATATCATGATGTTGGGTAGCAAAGGCTGCAAAGCAATGGTGCTTTATCTACCTGAATGTGGAAAGCTCAGAAGATGTAATTTTAAGATTAGCACATTTACTCCAATGTTTAATTGATACTGGTAAGTTAGGAATATGGGTTTGCAACACTGGTATTTTTTAAAAGGGAGAGTTGTGTATTTGAATTACAAGCAATATAGGGCAGGTGAGTAAACCTGTTAAGTAAAGAAAGCCTTATTCTGTCTTCCACCTCAAATCAGCAGCACTCATATGAGAAATTGTGTAAAACCATGGATGGAGGACATGACTCTTAATTTCCATCGTCCATATTTTTTTGTTTACTGTACTTTATTCTCAGTGTCAGCTTACTTAACTGTGGAAGAGTCAATAACTGCAGACCTTGGTCAGAATTCATGTTCCAGTTCTTCTCTTCAGTGTGCTTACGTAGGTGAAAGAGTAGGCATTGTCTGCTTAGTAGGTAGACGCTGGCGTCTGTGGCCAGAAGTTTCTGATCTTGGAATTTCATGAGAACAGCTAAGATTTTGAATCCTTTCTGTTCACATAAATAGGTATGTTTTCCTTCCATTACTCAGAGCCACAACATATATCTTTTCCTTTCAGGATTCCCTCCAATTCCTGGAATGGCTACAACAGAGGATGGCAATACAGTTGCTACAGTGCTTGAAAGTGCTAACAGGCTGGCTAAGATGGAACAAGAGGAGAATGTTAAAGATGATAATGATGAGGTATGTTGTTAACATAAATGGCCTCTCCTTTAGGCCCTTTGGAGGGACCTGTCAATTGATGTTTTTATTCTTAACCATTTCACACAGAAGCTCTTTGCTGGTTTTCAGCTCGATTCCTTAACGTCAGCTGCTGCACTGGTTATTTTACTGCTTTCCTGTCGGCACACTTCAGAAAACCATAAAAAAATGGAACCATATAGCCCATTTTGCTAAATGTTTCCTGTACTACTAACAGCAGATATTAAAAGTGTTTTTCAGTGTCTTAATATACAAGTAGTAGCTGTGTTAGTTTGTCTAAGCATGTTGACAAAATTAGAGAAGTAAAAAAAAGACAAAATATTATGACACAAATAGATTTATTTCATTGTGAGTTTTTGTAGATCAAAATCCACTTCTTTCAACACAAGGTGTTCAAATATAATGCCCTCTGTATTTCTGCATATATATCCCTATAGCAGTTAAGAATCAGGACCAGGTGAGGATACAGATAACAGACAAACATCTGTGTATAGAGGACCATATTTTTCTCCTTGCATCTGAAGAAATGGATTTTCATCTGTGAATGCTCACACTGAAATAAATCTGTTAGTCTTTTAAAATGTCACAAATATTGCCTTTTCTCTTCTTCATTTTGTCAAGGTCTTAACTTTCAGTTTCTGCCCATTGTGTCTCCCTTGCTCTTAACAGTTGCCAAGTTCTGAAAACTCTACAAACAGAACATGCAAAGAGTCTTTGCCTTTTCTTCAATACCAGAGCAGAGAGCCATGTTACATGATCCATTTGTTTCTCATCAAGTCTTGTATCTGCGTTTAGTTAACACTGTATTCATTTCCTTTTTTTGATCCCATTAGGATGAGGCTTTCACACAGTCTCTGCCTAGCAAACAGACCACTCAGCTGCCTAAAAAACCAGTGCAAGTTGTTCAGCCACTAATGGTGCCATCTGCTATAGTACAGGAAGAAACCTCTCCAGAGGAAGATAATTTTGTGCCCACCACCGAAACCACATCAGAGAAGTCTACATCTGGTGACCCCCTCTGTCCAGCTGGTAAGGACTCAAGGGGACATCACTTTGTTTTGTTAACACATTTGATTTGGAGAAGCTTGAATGGACTGTGTAATTGAGCTGTAGTCCGATGTTAATTTTTTCGAGACACTTGAAGGATGTTTGAAAGGATAGAAGAGGACAGTTGTTCATTGTCTGTTCTTTTGAGGATAGAGCAGAAAGTGATAGGCATGCATACAGTAAATACATCTAAGATGGCGCTTAAATAGCTGGCTGGATAGCTCGATGGTTTAGGTATCTACAGAGCCAAAGGTTGGGAGTTTGAATCCCCACTAGCCTTGGGCAAGCGGCACAGTTCCAGGCCACTCTCAGCAGAAGGGAATGGTAAACCAGTTCTGTGTATTAACCTAGAAAGAAAACCCTGGAAAGGGTTGCCATAAGTCAGAATTGACTTGACAGCATGTGATTTTTTTTATTAACTAGGCACTTCAATAAGTGCTTAACATAAGAGCCTTGTGGTACCATGGTTGAACTGCTGTACTGCAGCCAAAATTGTGTTCATGACCCAGGTTCAATCCCAGGTAGCTGCTCAAAGTTCACTCATCCTTCTATCCTTATGAGGTTGGTAAACTGAGTACCCAGCTTTCTGGGGGAGGGGCAATGTGTACCCTGCATAATTAAATTGTAAACTATCCAGAGAATACTTTAAATGCAATGGGTCAGAATATAAGAAGCAGCACGTTTTGCTTTAAGTGCTTGAGTTTAGCCCCTGGTGTTGCTAAAGGGCATTGCTACTGAATCCAAACTAATCACTGTTTTGTGTTTCTGACAGGCATGAATGGCATTTCACAGAACTTTGTGTTTGTAGTTTCCAAGGTGCTTGAACACAGGTTGTGAACTTGCATTTGAGGAAAACCTCACTCCTTTAAAGTGGTTCTGTTCTCTGAATTTCCTCTGAATGGGTGATCATTAAAATGTGTTAAGGATTTAGAGCCAGCTCTTGTCTTGTTGATGACAATATCATTTCTCCATTACTCATTTCACCCCTTCCTCCACTCCCGTGTTGGGCTTCCATAGACAGATCAGCTACTTCAGCTGAATGAAAACCTGCCACATAAATTTAGTTCATAGATTTGGTTTGGCTGTCTGAGGAGACTGCACAGAGTATCAGAGAGCAGGCAGCTGTGCTGTGAGAATGAGAATTAACTAGGAGCCATTATTGTACATGCCTTTTGTGCTGCTAACAATGGATTTTGTGTATCCCTGTGATGAGAAAGTTTTCCACAATTTTTTGTTTGTTTGTATATTCACATGCCATTGCTGCAGTGTAGGCAGGCGGCATGGCCAGTGTTTGGATGCAGTGTGGGAATTGAAGAAAACAGCTAGTAATAGTCTGTCTTTCTTCCTCACTTTCTTTTAGGCAAGACCTTCTTAGTAGGTCAGCCTCTGTAGTCAAGATCTTGGTGTGTCATGGGTAAAATACAAAAGCCATACTGCATAGTGCATAAGAAGTACATTGTGCAAGAGGAAACTCTCCAGCAATCAAGCTACCTAGTGTAAGGCATGACTGGAGAGCCTGTGGCCCCCCAGATGTAGTTGGACTCCCAGTTGTCATCAAGCTGTGACAGCTTGGGCAGTGCATAAGCATGAGGAGCGTGGAGAACAATATGTCTCTCCCCCTCCCTCCACTGTACATGGAAAACAGAAACTGAAGGAAGGGAAAGGGGTGTCATTTTATAACCTGATTGAGAGATGTTTTTTTCCTGAGTTAAATAATGCTTATCACTTAGACAACAAACATAAAATGATTTAATATTTTTTTCATAGGATTAGTTTGAAAACATGAAAATGCTAAAAATTCCTGGCTGTATCATATGGGTCTAAAACATCATGAAAATATATTCTTCATTTTTATGTTGTTATTTTTACTTTTCTGCAGTGAAAGAACATCTTGAAATTCTGGAGAATAGAAAGAAACAATACTTAAAGGCTGCCATCCAGGCAAAGAAGCAAAATGACCTTGAGCAAGCCAAGATGTATCTGAGAACAGCCAAAAGCATAGATCCAAAGATTGAGTTGGCAAAAAGCGGCAAGTTAGTTGACATTTCCAAGGTTAGCAGAGGGAACCTAAATAGTGTATCAAGGCTGTATTTTCTTGGAGAGGCACCACCCATGCCAGCTTGTATTAGCTGAGGCCCTTTATTGTAGATAACACACCCCATGTGAATTTATCTCTTAAGAAATCAACCTAATACTTCGTTAACAAGAAGAGATGCAGAACCATTTCTCTGATTGTTATAGGAGCCTCTTTTTTTAATGTTAGTTCTAATTCTCCCTATGTTCAATTGCACCTAGTCACTTGGAATACCTGATTTTTCAGTAAATTCCTTTTTAAAATAGAAGTTAAACTTCACTGTGGTATAGTATAAGAACCTGGCTACTTTTCCTCCCACTCTGTTTATGGGGAGAATGTGTCACACTTGAAGTGGGCAGCATACAGTTTCTCAAAATCAGGGTTAATTTAGCAGACAGTTGGAACAGGGAGTGGCTTTAAAGCATCTACAGTTCTGGGATGAGGAAACACTAGACCTTGGAAGTGATACATTTCCTGTTAACTGGCCAGGTTTACTGGATGATTCTGTACTTCTGACTCAAAAAATAATTTATCCAAGGTGTGGAAAGCCCACATGTTGTGAATGGGATTTGTGAAATTTATTTGTTACATTAATTTATTTTCCTTGCTCTGAAGAGTTGAGAGCAAAATTTTTGCTTTGCAGCTGGCAGTGAGAGATTATATTGAAAATGAGATTGAAAGTAGCCCAGTGAATCTGAAAGCTGAGTTGGGATTTGCATATGGGTTTTCTGCCCTGGTCCAATACATTAGCAACAGCATCACACTGGCTCAGAGTATTAGATTGTATTGGGAGTGAAGGGAAATGCAATGAGATTGCTGGTGTAGATTCAGCGAAATAAAATATATGTATACAGTGGTGCCCCACATGACGGGATATAAATACAATGAATAAATAAATAAAATAAATAAATAATCCGTTCCGGGAAAATCGCTGTTTAGCGAAATCATTGTCATGCGAAATCAGTTTCCCCATTGGAATGCATTGAAACCCATTTAATGCGTTCCAATGGGGAAAATACCTCATCATCCAGCGAAGATCCCCCATAGGGAAGCCATTTTGTGAGCGCCGATCAGCTGTAAAAATGGCTGCCCTGTGAAGCATGAGGCCGGAAAAAACAGGGCAGCCATTTTGCAGAGCCGAAAAAATTGTCATGTGAACAAACGGTTCGCGAAGCACGGACCTAATCAACGTCCAGCGAAAATCCCCCATTGGAATGACTGTTTTGCGAATCGCTATAGCGATCGCAAAAAGTCATTGTAATGCAGATTTGTCATTCAGTGGGGTCGTCATCTTGCTAGGTACCACTGTATCTTCATATATGTCTCAAGGTTGTGTAGTTTGTTCAGAGAAGTTGAAGTAATGTCCCTTTATTCATCTATAGATATGAAATGAATATTAATGAACACATTGTGTGCTCAGCTTTGGGGACTCACGATTTTGTCCATTCCTTATATTTTGTAATGTCTTCAGAGTAGAAGGTGCACAATAGCTGGGCCACTTTGCTTTTAACCTGATTTAATATTTTCGTATTTTTGTGTAGTTGTCCACAAATGCAAAACTACATCAACACAGTTCACAAAAATAAAATGGCCATTATGTTTTATCTTACGTTTGACCATAAGTCATCAAAATTTCTCAAAGTACTTGCTAATGACTATGTTCATAAGTACATGAATGTTACGTACCAATATATTTCTCACATATTAACTGCTCTATTTGTCCTGGAATCTGTTTTGGTCCTCCATTTTTTTGCTTGATGCCTTAATCATTGATGATTATCATTATGCTCGCAATTGATGTTCAGGGTCTTTTTGCCACATCCCCAAAGATTAAAAAGCTCTCATAACCTGTCTCCAGATGGCCCTTTCCATTTCTGTATTGGTACGTTATGGCTTTTGGGTGTGCTGTTGCACCATTTTCTGTTGTACAAGAATGTATCAGCTTTTGGAACTTTGACATTGACACCAAGCCTCAGCCTAGTATGACAGAGGGCTAGAGGTCAAATTTCAAATCCAGCATGATGTACTCTCTTACCCTTTTGCCCTTGTGCTCCCCCTTGATCTGGTCTAAATGATTTCCACAGAGTTGACTTTGTCCTTTTCTATCTCAACTATAATTTCTCCAAAGAATCTTTTTCTGTATTGCTATCTAGCTGCCTTCACCACCTACAGATGATGAGGGTGACTTTATTTTCATACATCATGAGGACGTGAGACTGTCTCAGAAAGCAGAAGAGGTTTACATGCAGCTCATGAAGTTACTGAGGGATCAGTATGAGGTAGGTCTGTATTTCTCTGTGGCAGAATAAGAGACTCCTTTGTGTTTCTCTAGCAGAAGAGGGGAACTACTGCCCTGTGGAAGTTTGAATATGGCCTGCTGGAGACTTCCCACTACGTCTGCCTGAGAGAGATGTCTCAGTTGGAGGTAGCAGCGTGGATTCCCCTTTGCTGTTCCATCTCTGATCGGAGATAGCAAAGACTGTCTTCTGTTCCCCACTGACACCTCCGGAAGCTAGCTGGGTCACTGTCTGGTCCACCTAGCTTGTGAAATATTGTCTGAGCACCATTTTTGATTCCTTTCTCCATGCCTGTTGGAGGAAGAGGGGAAAGCAAGGTCAACTTTAGTGCTCTGGGGAAGTTTCAGTGGCATCAGATGAGAGTAATTTGATTCTCCTCTTTGGCACAGGACAGGACAAGTGGGAGGGAGCTGCTACTCAAGGGCTGGCTTCAGGAGTGCTTTTGCAGCTCCTACTCAAAAGGATGGTTACTTCATATGTTCTGTGTCTCAGTGAATAGAAGCAGCAGGAGGGGTGAAATCTGTTCATGTTTTTTAACTCTTATGTTTTGTGCACTGGGAAACCTGGATGGTTTCTGCCCTGGGAAAAATGTAAAGGAGCATTTGTAACTCATAGTACATTTCCCTCTGAAATCAATATTCAAAAGTAGTTTGTGGCTGACTTGTTTTTTATTCTTCATTTTTAATAGAAATGTGTGCAATATTCCAAGCAGTTCACACATCTTGGAAATGTAGCTGAAACTTCCCGGTAGGTTTAACATTTAAGATACCTTGTTGTGCCCATGTCATTAATGAATGGGACTTAATACAAATTTCATTTGAAAAGAAGGTTGGAAAAGGCTGTTCTACACATCAATACTATGCATTTTATCTGATGGATCAAATTTGAGTATAGGCAAAAAATCCCCATCCTTCATATGCCTTTTATGGTACACATTACGGCATATGGTGTCATAGAATACATTTCCTCTCATGTGAGAGGAAAAGGAGGATGTCTCTTAAGCTGTTACTTGCTCTCTGGAGTTTTTATAAGCCCTTGTATTTTGCATTCTGCTTTTAGAAATCTTCCCAATTAATTACAGTGCCATTTAAGTTGATTAATTGAACTAGTTAATCAAATATAGCAGCTCTTATTAAAACTTTATTAGCCATGCACAAATTACAGATTGCCTCTGCATTCATGCAATAAACGTCTTATTGTTAACTGGCTTGTGGAACAGAACACTGCCATATAATTGCCTGTGGGCATTTAGCCACATGAATAATGGTCTGGTATAGTTTGAGTGTAGGAGTTCTGCTTTTTCTAGAATACTGGACTTCTACCCCGTATCCTAAGCCATCAGTAATGGAAATTAATCTGAACCCAGCTCTGCTGTTGACCTCTGGCATTAAGTTATTATGCCAGTCTCAAATGAAGTCCAGTCTACTGCTGTCTGTCAGTTCAGCAATGTGGTTGAGACCCTCTTGCTCATTGCTAGAACAACTGACTCCAGGCATGTATCACTATGGGTTTTTTTCTGTTAAGCTGAATGTTGTTTCTCTGCATTGTATTTCAGGTTTGAAAAGCTGGCTCAGAATTGTAAACAGGATTTGGACATTTTACGGCTTGCCCAGGCCCAAGGACTTGATCCCCCAGGCCATCATTTTGAAGAGAGAACCTTTAAAATTGTAAGGTATAGAAAGCTACATTTAGGTTGATTGTATACAAGCAACAGTGAAAATGGTATGATTTTCTTATTTCTGCCTACAGAAGAACTTTACAGATCCTTTCTTAGCTCTTTGGACTTAATATGGATTGTCAGAGTTTTGAAGTAGATTTTCTAAATAGAACCGAACTCTTCCAGTTACTTCTGTGGCTATTTTTGGGAGCCGTTAAGCATTAAAAGAAAATACGGGGCTTCCAGCAAAATTGCCAGTTACACAATCAGTTCAAGCACTCTTCTCCTCTCTTGCCACCCCTCCTTCTTAACTTTTTTTTTTGAGTATGGAATGCATCGGATGGCTAGAATGATTCAGTGGTTCTTTTTGTTTCTTTTGTAGGATATTTTCTGAACTCAGTAGCACTGAAATGCACCTCATCATTGTCAGAGGAATAAATCTTCCAGCTCCACCAGGTAGTTGATAACGAGCATGCAGCGGCATCTAAAGAAGTTTTTGATTGACTGGTGCTTTTTGTAAAAGCAACATAAAACCTTCCAATCTTTTACGATTTTGCCTAATATAGGTTTTTAGACAACCTGTGAATTCTAAGTTCAGAGAAAATATTGGCTTGTTTTGAAGTTCATGTGTGCAGATCTCTGCTTGTCAGATACTCCTGCTGAGGGAGCCTGTAGGTGAGAGTGAGAGATTTCCCATTTCCCCCAGAGCGAACAATTTGCTGTGGAGGCTTGGTAGATCTTCAAACATGATGGGAGAAGGATTGCTATATCTGGTACTGGTGCTGCTCCTTAAGTAGATCAGAGTCAGCAGCAATGAATGTGGCTTCTGTCTACTAATTCTATCCTGTATAAATGCACTGAGGTGTTAAGCAGTGCTGTCTACCAGTGGGTGGGCTAGAAATCTGTTGAACATCATACAGGTACTTCTCACTTAACAACCTACCTGTTTTACAACCATTTAGACTTACAACCAGTTATCTAGTGTGGGGAATCCCCTTTGTTTCATTCTGCCATCAAACCAGCCAGGACCAATGCCTGAGCTCAAAGCAGCCAGGAGCAATGTAACAACCAATTTGCTTAACAGCTGAGTCATAAAAATGGAACTCGGTCATTAAGTGAGGAGTACCTGTATTCCTTAAAATTTTATCAAGCAGTTTAGGGCAAAAGCAAGAGCATCTCCAAATATAGGCTTTCTACTTTCCATGAGATCACCAGCAGTCTTGTATTTATACTTGAAAGTCAGCAGTTGGGTGGGGCTTTTGGAAGACTTTGGGTAAAAGTAAGGGTGCCTTGAAAGTAATTTGTGCTTGATGTCACAAGATTCTTGATATAATTAATTTTCTTACCCAGGTGTGGCACCAAATGATTTGGATGCATTTGTGAAATTTGAATTTCATTACCCAAACACAGTGAGTACACTCAAGGATTTAGCTTCATTTAGACCTGGTTTGTTATGTTTCTGATTTACCGTATTTTTCGCTCCATAAGACGCACCTTTCCACAAGATGCACCAAATTTTTAGGAGAGGAAAACAGGAAAAAATAATTTGTTTTCTTCTCCTAAAAATTGGTGAGCCTTATGGAGAGGTCCATCTTATGGAACACATCCTAGGACCCTTTGGAGGCTCGCCCTGCCCCCCCCCCCGGGGGTCAGAAGGGGCGAAATCGCCAGCTTCTGGGACTTGAGGCTTGGGAAGCTTCAGAAGAGTCCCAGAAGCTGGTGATTTCCCCCCCTCTGGCCCAGTGGGGGGGGGCAGCGTGAGCCTTCAAAGGGTCCTAGGGTGTGTTCCAAGATGCTTTAGAGACTCACCCTGCCCCCCTCAGGGGTCAGAGGGGGCAAAATCGCCACTTCTGGGACTCTTTAGAGGCTTCCCGAGCCTCAAAAGACTCCCAGAAACTGGCGAATTTGCCGGTGATGGCCCTGTGCAGGGGGGGAGCGTGGCAAGGGTCCTGGGAGGCTCCCTCAGACCCTTGCCACGCTCCCCCCACCCCCTCATGGGGCCAGGGGGTTAGAATTGCCATCTTCTGAGAGTGTTTGGAGGCTTATCAAGCTTCCAAACACTCCCAGAACCTGGCGATTTCGCCAGGGCTGGCCCCGTGGGGGGGTGGGTCTTCTGGGAGTGTTTTGAGGCTTGGGAAGCCTCAAAACACTCCCAGAAACTGGCGATTTTGCCGGTGCTGGCCCGTGCGGTGGTGGGAGGAGCATCGCAGGGGTCTGAGTGAGCTTCCAGGACCCTTGCGACATTCCCCCCACCTGGAAGCTGGCGATTTCACCGGCGCTGGGCCCATGGGGGGGTGGGGGAGCCTCGCAAGGGTCCTGGAAGGCTCACCCGGACCCTTGCGATGCTTCCCCCCCACAGGGCCAGCGGCGACGAAATTGCTGCCTTTGGTCCATAAGACGCACGGACATTCCTCCCCACATTTTGGAGGGAAAAAAGTGCGTCCTATGGAGCAAAAAATATGGTATAGTAACCCTCTGGGCTGATGACCTCCATCATTAACAACTATTCTCAGATCTTGCAAACTGAAGGCTGTGGCTTCTTTTATTGAGTCAAATATTTTGCATTACAGATCCCACAACCTTCTCATTGGCCCCTTTGGCTAGTGCTGATGGCAGCAGCACTAGCAATTATAGGCACAACCTCTGGAAAGCCAAAGAGACTCCACTGCTGGTTTATAGAGGGCCTTTCCCAAATGCCCAAAGCACATCTCGTGATCTTGGCCCCAAACAATCTTGCAGAGTAAATGAGTAATAGTTAAAGACTGGAGCAATGGGTAGTTCACTTGCCTAAGCCACTTGGTGAGTTTATAAACGTTTCTCCTGCATAGCTCATTGTCTTAATTTGCAGTGGCTTCCACTGAACCCCTCTCCTGGGTTGTTGGAAAATTGCTTGAGGTTATTCAAAGAAAACCTTTCATTGTTCAGAACCAGGCCAGGCCTCGTTAGAGATTTGTTAGATCCCCTACTTTGATGATAGGGAGCTCCTTGGACATTCAAAGAGCACCTCTTGTTCACATCCTGTTCTCACTGCTATGTCTAGAACCATCAATAACAGATGAAATAATGCTTGAGTCATATTTTGTTGCTTTCTCTCCCTTTGATTCAGAGGCATGCACTGCAGTTTGTTCCAGTTTTCCAGCTTTTTGTATCCAGACAGCCATTGTGCATAGCTTGCATGAGTCTGAGGACCAGTAAATACATAATTCTCCTCATGGCCAGTGCATACATAACAATTTATAAGGTTTAGTGACCATTTCAAGAAATAACACATGGATGATACATGTACATTTATTGTGCCAATATAGTTATGGAGGAAGAACTGTACCTGTCTGGGGAACTGCAGAAGGCTGGGTTTTGCCAGAGGTTCCCCGGTCTTGTTGTAATTCAGCAAGTGGTCATGTAAAGGGAAGAAGGTGTTATGAGGGAAATATTGGTGAATAGAGCCTGGGAACAAAGAGATTTGTGGGAGGGGGAAGATGAAAGTTTCAGGACTGTAAGGTGTGTGCTACAAGGCACTTGTGAAGAAAAGGGGGTTAACTGAGTGAGTTGAAAAGGAGTTTTAAATATGGCCAAATGCTTGCTTGTAGATGGATAATGTAAAAGTGGTCCTCAAAGTAATTTGATGTTTTCAACTCCTTCTTTAGATTGATCAGTTACCGTAGGGAGAGGGAACCTGGGCTTTATAGGGAGGAGGAATAAGAATTCCACATTTCTCTGAGGACCACTGGAGGCAACTAGAGTGGTGGTGGGTTCCTCACCATAGTAGACAGGTGTGAATATGAGAAGATAATATCATGAGTGGCATTTACTGTATGCCTTCATGATGTGCATTATTTGAGGCTGAAGAAGCAAATGGGGGAAAGAGTTGCCTCTGGAAGAGAAAAATCTTCTGTTCCTTGAAAACTAGGATATATTCTAGAAGCAGCTGCAGGAATTGGGTCACATTGTCCTTGTTCAGTCCCTAGGGTTATTACCTACTGTGCTTGGGAGTAGAAGCTAATTTATTTTCTTGTAATGATTTAACTGTTACAAAGAGCAGTCATGTTGTAAAAGCTAAATAATCTCTTTGGAGCATTTTTGGACTCTAATGTTCTCTATTCTTTTCCTTCTTAAGGAAAGCAGGTAAAAGTTACTGGGGTAACGTAGATCAGCCCTTGTTCTGTATCAAAGTAAAAGGGCCCCTCTGTGTCCCAGTTGAGTCTGGCTTATTTTTTAAAACATCCCTCAGGCAGGTTGTTTTGTTTCTTTTCCAAACATTTGTATGGTATTTTACAGTTTACTCTCTCAGTATGGGTCACTTTTCTAACAAAAAGCAAATCAAAATCATGCAAAATATTAACGATATACTGCTGCAGATATTTCAGGAAAATCTTTTTGCATGATTGCTTTTTTTTATAACAGGAGCAAGCCCAGAAAAGTAAAACATCTGTGATTAAAAACACCAGTTGTCCAGGTGAGTCTCTGGGTTTCCTTTTCTTGGGTGGCGGGAGTCCCTTTTGGGTCTTCTTTTCAGAACTAGGCTGAAAAGGATGTGTCATAATAGCAGAACATAAACGAATGCTTGTTTCAGAACAGTAGGGACTTCCTAATTGGGGTTTCTTAACAGAGTGATTTCTGTGTGATGAAGTTGTCTTGCCTTGAGTCAGACCATTGGTTTATTTAACTGTATATAATTTGCTTTGCCTGTGATTCTCAAAAGTCATTTCCAGTCAGATGTGTACTGTCTTGCTACCTGATATAAGGGCCAGATTAAGAAGTGCTAAGGCATTAAACTATGTCACATTTAAGAGTCATCATAGCATTATCAGAAAAGGCATATTATGTAAAACTTGACATTTAATAATACATAATACAGCAGTACTGTATATAAATTTGTTATGTATTTTATGGGTAGAAGCTTCTTCATAATTTGGGACCCTAAAGTGTTGATTACTTAGCTTGTGTGTAAATTCAGCACTACTTGAGATGTTTTTCACCAGGAGCTAATAAGAACTTGAACCTGCTGGTTTATGCACTTGGAAGTATGTGTATATTGAGTTATGGCAACTGTGGCCGGCCTTGACCCTTCAGGTTCTGAATATGTTTCAAGGCTTAGCAGCTCTGTCCTCTGCCTCATCCACCAATACTTTTACACTATACCACTGAGCTTCAATCTAAACATTACAGGGGAAAAAGTTTGGTCCTCCTACCTGTGCAAAAGCCCATTATGCAAGTGATTGGATAGTTTCTGAGCTTGTGTGAGGAGTTTACTGTACATTAAAAATTAAAATACAGTTGAATTCTGCAAGCATAGGAACTATTGAGCCAGAATGGGCTATTGCACAAGCAAGAGATAGGACAGTATTGTGTCCGGGTTTTGTTTTGTTTTTTAAACGTTCCCACCATCTACTAAGGGGGTTACCTGATCAAAAAATGAGATAAAATTAGTCTTGATTTGTTCTTGACATAGTCAGGCTTGCAAAAGCTTTACACATATAGGGACTTGCTGGGATCATTGCTCATCTGTTCAATTTATTTCTAGGCCATTGTAGTTTGATTACATATAAATGTTGTATTTTAGCACATAGTATTTTTCCTGCATGGTGTAATAAATTTTAACAGACCCTTAATTGCTTGCAACTCATTTTGCAGTTTTATAAGATGAGGGATTACTTTATGTTCTAAGGCACTCTGAAGTACATTCTTCACTGAAGTTTTTCGTGCTTAGCATAGGGAGAGGCACTTTTAAGAGCGTAGGCTATAGAACAAATTCATCCTTATAAGTTAAAGAATTAGCTTTTGTAAAAGATCCATTATGTAATAATTTTATGAAGCAAAAGTAGGCAAACTGAAACTGACTACAAAGACCAGACACTTAATTCTACTTGATTTTGGATTAATTCTGCATGCTGTCAACAGCTCCGTATATCTTCTGTACTTTTCCATGCATTTCCAGAATATGATCAGCTGTTCAAATTGAGCATTAACCGAAATCACAGAGGCTTCAGAAGAGCAATTCAAGCCAAAGGGATTAAATTTGAAGTATTCCACAAAGGGTAAGTATTTAATGCCAAACGGACAGCAGTTCAGTGCCCTCTGCTGAATGGAAGCAATGCTTTATGATTCGTGCCTAGGAATTCCATGTTTGAAGAAGGGATAGATTCTGCATTGATGTCCTATGGAAGCTAAATGCCATGAATATCTCTTTGTTATAGATTTTGTTATAGGGATCTCGTTACTTTTTTTGTGAGTTAGGGATTATTTTGCTATACGACTGAAGTCATGATCAACAATAGCATATTAAGTGCTTAGGAAAAGAAGCCTTCACAGAAATTAACCATGCTATAATAATTTTCTAATTTTGTTTCACTGTTTAAAGTTCAGTCATACAATAGTGGTGTCTATTGATTCTAGTTGGCTCACAAATTTTGATTTAGCATAAAAGGATTTCATGTAAAAATGTCTAGTTTTCAAAGTGAGTCTGCCAGACTTTTTGAGCACGGGCTTCCATGTATGTATAAGCAGAACAGCAGGTGGATAAAATACAAGACTGCCCTATTTTAAACTTTGTGGTGGATAAGGCTTTTCTTTCACTTGTAGTTTGCTTGGTCCACTGTAGAATGCAAAAAAACTCCTTGCCAAGTATACCAGTTTTATTCACAAGATACCTGCAAGGCCCAAGGTACTTATGCCGCTAGACACGCCACAGTCCCATAGCATAGCAATACCTAGATGAGTGTTGCAGAACCACCACCATCACACCACACATACAGTAGATTCTTGCTTGTGATGCTTTCTTCTATTTTCTGATGAAACACCATGGGGATACAGAGTAATGCTAGTGATAACCTTGAAGGCAGCTGTCAACATTTTTACCCAGATCTCAACAATGACTGTCAACTGGGCAGGTTAAGTTGGCCAGCATTAAAACAGCAAATTGAAAGGAATCCCTCTTTTGGTCAGAAGTGATAATGTATCGTCATGATACAACACAGAGTAGTTCGTTGTGGTTGTTTTAAGGTTGTTAAATCCAGCATCAGTGCAGTAATAAAAATACTTATTCACTGTTTATTGAATATTGTTCAACATAAGGCTTCATTATTGCTTAGGAGAAGGAAATGGTGGCAAGGAAATACACTAATTTAACTCATTGGGAGTAACTGAAATAAATGGGTTAAATTTAACATAACACTTGAGGGTTTCACACCTTCTCCTCTGTGTAGCCTAAGGACACTGGCCAAAAACAGGATCTGGAGTGTTTCCATGGACAAAGTTATTTTCTGCAGTTCTCTATGCATGGAGGGGAAAGAGAATGGTGATTGATGGGAGGCCTCCTATCACGGTTCTCACACTCTTTAAAAAGGCTGGAAGTTAAGAACAAAGCATTCTCTTCTCTCTCTCTCTCTCTCCACACATGAAGGGACTGGAGCTCAGAAGGGTGAGCTTTGCAACAGTAGCCTCTTATAACAGAGAAGAAAATGTGAGGAAGGAAAACTGTAAAGTGGACTGGGAAAAGATTTGTTGAGCTCACCTGTCCTCTTCACTGGGAGAAAGGTTGCCTAGAAAGGAAATAAACAAACAAAATAATTTTCAGTAAATATCTTCCTGATGGACACTATGAGAAATGCCATTATACCTTATGCAAGCTGTTTTAGTTGACTCTTACTTGAAAATGGGGCATGTGGAAAGCACAGTCTATATTTTTGTTTCAGTTCCCAGGAGGATACCTTTATGAAACTATTCTGTATTGCCATTATTTCCAGGTCGAACTGTTGTCTCTGTAGCTTTTCTTCAGCACTAAACAAAATGACACATCTACCCCTGCTAGCACTTTTTTTACACATGGGCTATTCCTTTAAATGCAGTTCTCATTCTGTTTGTCCAGTCACTGACTTCTGTATGACAGTAGGCAATATGTATATGTGTCAGGATTGGACATTTATGCAGTGGATGAGTTTCCCCCTTGTCTTATTTTTCCTTCCAGCATGGGGGATTTGTTACATTAATTCTGTTGACAAAAGCACTTTATCGTCTACCCTTGGATTTCTTGAAATAAATGGATCAGGAAGGATTTTTTATATCCATAAAGCGTGTCAGGTTCTTTTATGGTTTTTCCACGGTGTGTTTAACAGAAAAATCTAACTCTTGTTGTGTTGAGGATGCCATGAGAGGTGTTACGACTGACCTGGCTGGCGCTCCTGTCGAGGCTCTGGTTGACGGCTGGTTCGCCGCCGCGGCTAGGGCTGTAGACACGAGCGCACCTAAACGCCCTCTCCAATGCAGACTCCACCTGGCACCCTGGTTTAACCAGGATCTCCGGGCGCTGAAGCGGGTTAGGAGACGGCTAGAGCGCAAGTGGAGAAAGGACCCGACGAATTATAATAGGATAGCTGTCAAGGTTGCCACTAACCTTTACCTGGCTAAGGTAAAGGCTGCTAGTCGAGCATACTTCGGATAAGCGAAGCGTTCAATCAGCAGGTGGAATTATTCCGTATAGTGCGCGCCCTATCCGGAATTGTTCTGAGCGATGGGCCTCCCCCTAGTTTTTCACCGGACCAATTTGCAGCATTTTAAAAATCTAAAGTGGAGGCCATCCGCCGGGACCGCTCTCCTTTTATGAATACAGTGAGTCGTGTGGAGATGTCCAGCGCTCCGTCTTGCCCGGTAACTTTTGACTCTTTTCAGCCGTGCCACCACCTCCTCCCTTGACCCTTGCCCGGCCTGGCTAATCAAAGCAGCCAGGCCTTTAACAACGGAATGGGCCACTGTAATAATTAATGGGTCTTTCCTTGACCCATCTGCCCTCAAGGCTCTTTCCTTGACCCATCTGCCCTTTCCGTGTCTCCATCTGCCCTCAAGGAGACACTCATTAGGCCCATTAGGAAGAAACCTAGTTTGGCGGCGGACGAAATTGGCTATTATAGGCCCGTCGCCAATGTTTCTTTCTTAAGCAAGGTGGTCAAGAGGGTGGTGGCCGACCAGCTTCAGGCGCACCTGGATGAAACGGATGCCCTGGATCCATTTCAGTCGGGCTTCAGGCCGTGCCATGGTACAGAAACGGCATTGGTCGCCCTGTGTGATGACCTGTTCAGGGAGGCCGACAGGGTCAAAGTTTCTCTGCTGGTGGTCCTCGACATCTCAGCGGCCTTTGATACCATTGACCACGGTATCCTCCTGGGGAGGCTCTCTGAGTTGGGAATCGGTGGCCTGGCATTGGCCTGGCTCCGTTCCTTC